CTCTCCATCTCTCTATCTATCTGATATTTAGATTGTTCCAATCCAAGCGCCCTCCTTTTCTCTCTTCTCGTTCCACATCCTGTGACACCGTATCACCTACGTTTCTCTCCTCGTTATTGACATAGATGCGACCATGCGACGTTGCTGCAATCGTTTTCATTCAGTCATCCTTCTAACGCGCAGCGCACAGAGCCACAGACAGTGAGACAAGGACCGACCGACTCATTCGAAGAAGACAGTCGCGGCTCACTATAACTCATTATTGGGTCCCACCGTCCTATAACTGAACAACCTCATGCGTTATGCTAGTTTGCACCCACGCATTTGCTTTTGTTTAGATCAAGTGTTTATTGTGGTTTGATTTTGGTACAGCTAGACCTGGCAAAAAATTGACCCCACTCGTGAATCTGACCCGATTTAACACAAAAAAAACAGGGTTAAATCTGATATATAGGTGGTGTTTGATATGGCTTTCTTTTATTTAATGAATGGTGTTATATTATTGTCAAATTAGCATTTTATTTTACCATGTTGATTAGTACATTTTAAGTATTGATAATAGTTGGTCTTGGTTTATGTATGTGCCAATTGTTGAGGGAAGCTTCATTTTAATGCTTCCCTCAATACTTAAACGTTTATTCATTATACGCTGTTGTAGTGATTAATGATGCCTAGTTATTAATAAATCATAGAAAACCGTTTATCAACCACTTTTTTTTTATTTTGAAGACAAGTACAAATATTTATTTAATAAACGAAATCCATGCCAAATATATAACTAATTGCCTTAATTTGAGTTAGGTCAGGTTGGATCATGAGTCACCCTGTTAATCTGATTATATGGTCTAATTAGGATTATTTATATGTATTGTTAGAAGCTTTCGTTCTTTAATCTTTACTATTTATAGTTTATTCTTTACATTTTTGAAATTTTATGCTTTTTTTATATTTTGAATTTTAATGTTAATTTCTTTAATTTTGATATATTTATTTATTTTTTAAAATTCCAGTTATTTTAAAATTGACCCTAATCCAAACATTTATGATTAGAGTCTGGCATTTGCTGGCCCAACCCAAATTCCAATCTAACTCGAAATCAATAACATGTGTCTTAATCCATCCGAACACCGCCCACCCAACCCAATTACCAGGTCTAGCTAAAGCATAAGATACACAGATGATCTACGGCCATGATTCAACTTCGGTAAAAAGAAAATTCCTATCCGACCAATTTGGACAGAGATGTTTTTGTTTTCTATAAAACGCAGAATTCCAATGCATCGCAAGCTATCAGTTTACAAAAGGTGAAGAGCGAGACTGCCGTACATTAGAGGGACAGACAGGTGGGCGAGTTCAAAACAGGACCGGACCCATTTTAGAGAGGTGTAAAATGAGTTTGGTTGCATGTTGAGAGACCCCACAAGTCACCTCCATTGCAGTTTGTTACTTAGTTCTGTAACTATATGCAGATCAAGTGGGTACGAGATTTTCTGAATAATAATCAAATCAAACTGATACAGAGGTGGATACCGAACGTATCAGTGGTTGGTCCGGGTCCTCTTTACGTGTCGACATGGCTGGAGTCGGAGATTATTTACCCATTCAAAGGGGGGAAAGATGAAAGATAAACGGTCTCAGACAAGCCTTGATCAAGAAAGGACCAATGATTTGTTTGAAAAGCAGAAATGTTTGTTTGCCTCTCTCACGTCACATGTGCTTCATTCATCTCTCTCTCTCTCTACATTGTTTGTCTGTGTAAACTAATGTGCGGTGGATGAACCTCTGCTCTGCAACTCGGTACGCTGCTGCACTCAGTTCATTTTTTTAATGGATTAATTAATAAGATAAAACTCGTATTTTTATTATCAATACATATTCATTTCTAACTCTTTAAAATTTTTTTTTATATTATACAAAAAAATTAGTTTGTGGGTTTCATAGGATATGAGAATTAACTTTGACCACACAATTTTCGTAACGTGAGAGGCAGTGATTTCCACATGCTAAGTAGGAGTGCGACTGTAGGGTCCTTTTATATATACAACTCTTAGGTTATGGTCGTGCAGATATGAGACTCGTGAAAAGACATACTACAGTACCAAGTTAGACCTGTCTTTTCATAGGCCCCACCTTGTCTGTAGGGCGAAGAAAACCAAGAGTTGCATAATTTTGATTATAAAAATGTACGATGTAGATGGCAGGAGTGGTTGGCCGTGAAACAGTTTGTCAGGGTTCGGGTCGGGTTGAAGGGAAATGGTGAATACTGAATCAGGAAATTGATGCCCAATACAGTCGGGTATCTTCACTTAGAAATCGGATTTGATCCTCGCAAAACCGTTCTCACATCTCCCAGTCCCCTTCAAGGGAGATATTTTCCAATGCACGACAGCAAAAGAACTCAAATATGGGATGAGACGTTTATGTGAGATGAAATCCGAATTCATATCCACATAAATCCTGATTGCAAAGCTTTGCGGGAATAATAGGGGTCTGGAATCATAATAAGTTTATTTAGTAAGAACTAAGAAGTAATTTTCTTACTTGTCCAATGACTTGAGCGTATCACCACAGCCATCAAGGGTTGTTCATTTATTGGCCATCGTATTCGTTTCCTTGGTTCTTAGGTATTTGTGACAGTTCTATAGGTTTTTATGATTCCGTTTTCTTTCTTTATTAGGCATATCTCAGATTTGATTGGGTAGAATGGGAATCTTATTTCTATTTCTGTGGAATTTTGAGAGAATGACTATTCCCTCCTGATGAGGGGTGATTTGGCCTGACCTATTAAACAACGTATATGTTGATGCAACCTGCTCACTAGATTATGATTCAGCACTTGTTGCCACCCTAGCACTTTCAGCCATCTCAGGTGTCTCGGGCACCTCGGTAGAAGGTCGAGGTTCGAGTAGCCCGGGAGTATCTATTCTACTGAGGTGACATGTAGCAAACCTCTAAAAGCTTGCCAGCTGCCTCTGAATTCTTTGGGATCACACTGCACGATTGTAGGCTTTATCCTCATCACATCCGGATCGAACGGACACGGTAAGCTTTATCGGACCTCCCAGGATGGAATGGGCTTCTAACAACGTGGGCTGAGGACTTGGAGATGTTTCGTGAGACCCACGATAACTCACTTATATAAAGGCATCAGCCCTTGTGACCCAGGTACGCACGATTTTGTGTATTATAGCTCTCATAATTCTCAAGCTTTCAGCTCGCATATAGCCAAGTACTAACTTAAGCATCGAAACAACCACACTGGGTTAGCTACCTTGGGTTCTTTGTTTCTACCTGTCTTGCAATTCGACCAACCTGCTACGCAACCGACATTCGAGCTGCCATCCAACTAGGAGCAACTGGATCGCATACCATTACTTCCCATTTTTCATAAAATAAAATTCCATTTCAGTTTATTTTAATTTTCATTTCCATTCATATATGAACCAAACAGATTATGAAAATATACCAATTTTATTTGGGTTTTTGAGTGCAAATCAAATGGACCCTTAAATTGGGGAGGTCAAAGACGAGACCAAATTTAGTGTACACAAAATTTATTTTAATATTGTAGTTACAACGCTTATAGCTGCACATTTGAAACATCTCCGAGACGGCATGTGAGAACTAAGGTCCCATTTGGTTCACAGGAATAGGGGTCTGAAATTGGAATCAGAATGGGCTATTCCGGTTCCAATTGTTTGGGGCAGAATCGGAATCCCATTTTCATTCCTGTTGGAATGGCATTCCCCCATTTGAGGAAATAGCCATTCCCTGTCCCTTCCTTGGGAATGAAATCTTAATCCTACTAATTTTAATTCCCATTTTCATTCTTGTTTGAACCAAACAGATAATGGGAATGAACCATTCCAATTCCAATTCCAAAGGATTTTGATTCCAATTTCAATTCCAAAAGATTTTGATTCCAATTTCGACTACAAACCAAACAGACCCTAAATCAGTTTATTTATTTATATTTTACGCCTGGACTAAATCAGGATTTATCATAAACAGCACAACAGCGGCGAAATTGGATTTGTTTCTCACGAAACCATCATTTCACCATCCGCACCTTTTTGGAGCCATGCATCGGAAATATCTACTTAACAAATAAAACATACAAAAAGGCCGTGAGGATCAAATCCGAATTCCCACTGGTTGAGTGAGAGTGTTGGGATTGGAAGATAAGCGTCATATGAACTAACCAACAGCACATCGGCTCAAACATGAAGAGATAAGAAAATACTGATCCAACGACTGGTCCTTACTCAGCATTCCGAAAACCACTGCTCTAATGCTCTTTAGCAAAAGTACTAGAGAAAGGTGGCAACACAGTTTTGATCCACAAAACAGTAGATTTAGGTGGCAACACAGTTTTGATCCACAAAACAGTAGATTTGACGATGAGGGAGCACAGAGAATTCTCACGACTTTCATAGACAGAATGCTTCCAAGCCACCCTGTTGTTTTCAACTCAACCATCAGAAAAAGAAAAAAAAACTAAAAAGCAGAGGAGAAAAGAGCAGGGGACTAGGGAGAGATTGAAAGCAAGGTGCCAAGGTCCCCAACTCTATTCAATTTAGTCTCAAACTCAAACTTTTTTGAGGGAAACGAAACCACCCCAGACCGGCAGACCCCAGTTCCCAAAACTAAAAAATTTTCTAAAACACAAACCACGTTTCCCCAAAACCATTGAGAAAAGACATTTCTAGATCCGCATCAATAACCCCTCTTGAAAACTGAGTGTGAGAGAAAGAACTTCCCGTCCATCAATCCCAATACGAGACCCCATAAATTTATTAAAAAAGACGCTTTCTCTCTCTCTCTTGAAAACCCACGCCACCAAACTTCAAAACCCCAAACACTCCTCCCATCATTTCCCACAATCCAATGTTCCCACCCTCCATCATTTTCAGTTGGACAAGTGAAAAAAAGCAAAAAAACAAATAAGCATAAAGATTAAAATAAGAAAAACTGAAGGAGAAACATGAGATGTTGGTAACCCACACACATTCCCATGCACTCTCTTTCTCTCTCCATCTCTATCTCTCTCAGAGTCTTAACAGTCAGACTCCCATGATTTTACATCACTTCTTATATTCTTCAAGCCTATCCATGTTTGTTTAATTTCCAAGAAGGCCATCTTCTTAAGCGTGGTATAGATATTTAATGTATCTATCCATCTTTCTATCAATCTCAATCTCTTCTATATAATATTTATTCACCTCCACTTTCTGTTTCTTGTTTGTTGACACAGTACTTTGGACATGAAAGCGCCTATCTTTTCTTGTCTATGTCTATAGACACTGATACCTGATATTTCACTTGCGCTTGCGCTTGTTCATGTCCTTTTGACTACCTCTTCCTCTTCCTCTTTTTACCTATGGATGGGGGTGTAAGAGTTGATTAAAGCTGAGGTTGTGTAGAGATATGGCGTGTTCTCTGGGAGCTGAAACTGCGAAGAAGGCAATGTGGCTGTATCCTAAGGTTTTAGGCTTCAATCCTTCAGAGAGATGGGGGCACTCTGCTTGCTGTTGTAATGGAGTTGTATACGTTTATGGGGTATGCATAGTGAGAATCCGTGAATATCTCTGCCTTTCTTTCTCCTTAAATGCGTGTCTCTTGGTCTGTCGTCTGTTCTTTCTTTTGGTAGTGTTGATTTTTTTTTTTTTTTTTTTSCGTWTGGGATGGTTCATGGTTTTACCTGAACAATTACTTTCTGGTTATCCATAGATGCTTTTCCCCCCTTTGTTTCTGCTTATCTATAATTTGCTTTTTTTTCCCCTCTTACGTTATTGTATTTATTTAAGTACGGTCTGTAGATGGATCATTTTTGGTTGGTGAGTTGGACTTCTTACGGTCTGTTGCTCTTAAATATAACTCTTGAATCTGTCCTTTTTTTTTCTTATTTTCTTAAGAGTTGTATAATTGGTAAGTAGTGGCATTCAAATGATCATCTCGTTTATGTTTTGTTTTGTTTCTTATTTTATTTGCATAGTTTTTCTGTTTTGTTACTTCCTTTTCTCTTGATCTTTCTCCTGGCTTCTTCTTTCTGTTTGTTTATCTATTTCTTGCTTTCCTTTGTCCTTTTCTGTTTTGGGAATTCTTTTGCAGCAGTTTTCTACTGGTGTTCAAATTCCATAAAATTTTTTCTTCTCCCTTTTCCAGCAAATATCAATGACTATGAGGGTTAGTTGATCTTTCTTACTTTCTTTTTCTATTTTGTATTTTATTTAGTTGTATGATTTATTTTTATATTTATTATTTTCCTTGTCTATCGTTTTTGCTATCTCCCCTTACCAATGTGCCGTATCTCTTTCATGGGTATTGTTTTCCAATCCAGGTTTCTGGTCCCTCTCTTGTTTGGGGCCGTGAAATGTAGTTTCCTGATCTTTCTGAGTAATTTTCTTTTAATTCTCTGCATTTCTGCTAATCTATCTTTCTTCTGTACTTTTGAAATTCTTTTACCTCTCCTAGATTTCAAACTATTTACCTGCTGTTACCCGCATATTTCTATTTTGTCAATAGTTTCTCCGCAAACCAGAATTCCAAGATACCCCTTCTATACAGGCATTTTGGTAGATATCATGGTCAATGTATTGCAGTCTGTGGATGGTCTGGGAACAAGAATATCAGTTGAATAATTTATATCATTCGAGTTGGTCTGTTTTTTTCTGGCAAAGTACCTAGTTAGGATCCTTCTGGAACAGAGAAAATCTAGATCTCCTTCGAACTAAAAGTTCACCTTTCATTTGCATTCTACATTCTTATTTCTTCTACTGTTTTTTCCTTCTACCTATTTCAGGGATGTTGTGGAGGGCTGCATTTCAGTGATGTTCTCATGCTTGATCTTGAAACAATGGCATGGAGCACCCTTGTAACTACAGGTCAGCAGCCTGGTACCAGAGACAGCCACAGTGCAGTACTTGTGGGGCACAGGATGATAGTTTTAGGGGGTACCAACGGCTCCAAGAAGGTAAACGACCTTCATATATTGGATCTTAGAACGAAAGAATGGACCCAACCCAAATGTGAAGGGACCCCACCTTCCCCTCGTGAGAGTCATACTGCCACAGTCATTGGCGATGACAGACTTGTGATATTTGGCGGTAGTGGAGAAGGGGAAGCGAATTACTTGAATGACTTGCATATTCTTGACCTTAAAACAATGAAGTGGACCTCTCCTAAGGTAAATGGTGATCTTCCTGCCCCAAGGGACAGCCATACTGCAGTTGCAATTGAAAACAAGTTGCTAGTGTATGGCGGTGATTGCGGTGACCGGTATCATGGCGACGTTGATATACTTGATCTGGATACATTGACTTGGTCCAGGGTATTTTTTTTTTGTGCCCTTTGCTCATTCCATTCTCAGCTTAAAAGTTAATGGACAAGTCTGTTTCTAATGTGTAAATCAACTAATTTGAAATTGCTACAATTAAACTAATTTAAATTCCGATTACATTCCTAGTAGATTATGTTACTTCAGTTTTTGGTGCTCAAAGATACCCAATTTGTTACAGTTGGCAGTTCAGGGGTATTCACCAGGTGTTAGAGCAGGTCATGCTGCTGTAAATATTGGAACAAAGGCAAGGGCAAACTGAAATAACTTTCAAACAATGAATTAGGAAAGGGAAACCAGACAAACAATCAATTCACTGCCTCTGTGATTTTTGCAGGTTTATGTCATTGGTGGTGTTGGAGATAAGCATTACTACAATGATGTTTGGATCCTTGATGTGAATACTTGTTCATGGACTCAGCTTGACACACGGGGCCAGCAACCTCAAGGGAGGTTTTCTCATACAGCCGTAGTTACTGGATCAGATATTGCCATATATGGGGGGTAATGCAGTCTTTTCTTGATATTTTTCTGGCTGGTTATCGGAATTTTGTTTTTGGTGAAGAAGATGCATGGTTATGGATGTGAGGAACCTTTGCCTCCCTGGGAGTATGTAGGTTCGCCACTTCATGGGTCTGGCCAAAGAGATCTTTGAGGTCCAAAATTTGTCTCAATAGATTGTGCTGGCTTGTCCAAATAAAAAATTTTCTTTGGTCATCTTTGTTTAATCTTCATTCAAAAGGAGGATATAATAGTATAATACTGAATGTGTTTGATCATTTAATTACTTGGGTTTTTGGAATGATGGTTTTTTGGCAGGTCCTTCACTTTCCTTCTTTACAATGAGAGTCTAGGAATTGGTTATGATCCTGCTGTTTTGATGGGTGTGCTCCCCCTTAAAAAGAGAGAATTCCTGTCACTAACATTCATATTTCTCTCTTGGTGTAATCTTACAGGTGTGGGGACGATGAACGTCCTCTCAATGAGTTACTCATCTTGCAGCTTGGAGCTGAGCATCCCAATGGCCGCTACAACATTTCCCTGTGCAAGATCTTTGGTAATCACTGGAACCAAGAAAAGAGGAGGTTTCCAAGTGGAGCAGAGAATAATTTGGTAAGTCTTGCAGATTGTAACTCCTCCTAGAGACCAATTCCTCTGAGCAAGAACAAAATAAGATGTTTTCTATTTGCTTTTTAGCAGAAATGCATGGTTATTGGGAATGATGGGGAACAGAAGCAAAGAGGTAACGAACTGGAATCAGAACCGAGCCAGTTTCTTCTATGTAGTTTAGGTTGGTCTTTAATTTGTTAATTGATTGCTGCAGCAGCTTGCTCATGACTGTGGAAGTACAAGAACATGACTATTTTATTTTCATTTTGATTTTCAGATAACTTGCATTCAAAGAAGAGAAGAAGTGGTGATTCGAGAACATGGGATGTTGAATCAGAACAGGAAGAACATTCTCTTTCACTGTCACAGCACTCATCGCCGTCCCAATCTGATCAAGAGCAGACTCCAGTTCAGAAACTCGCTTCCTCAGCTACCAACTCTACTGTGAAGCCACACCCCTTTGGTTTGTTTAAGAAGCAAGATCAGAGGCCTATGAATTGTCAATCTAGTAATATTGGTGACAATGACATGGATCAGAAAAGTTGCATGCAGAGGGCCCAGAATTTTCATTTCATTGGTGAACATCAAAGGCACCCAACTTCAGCAGGTTCGGAACATTGTGTTCACTTCTCCTGTAACGGAAAGCAAGAAATGCATTACTTAACAACTGAACAGAAGCTCCCTGGGGCAATTCATTCCTTGGTAAGCATTTAGGGGAAGGTTTTTATGAGTAAAATATCCGGTGTGAAGTCTTTATTAGACCAGTTCTAGTTAATCTTATACGTTGCGCTTCCAAATTTTTCCTTTCGACAGATTGGAGCTGAAGTTAGAGGTACAGTTGATGGAGCTTTTGATTCAGGATACCTAATGACAGCAAATGTCAATGGCAAGATCTTGAGAGGGGTGTTATTTGCTCCTGTAAGTTTTTAATGAGAAATGGGTAGTCAAGAATAGAAGCCCAGAAGTGTCTGCCATACTTTAAGGCCTTGTTTTGATATTAGTGATTTCAATTTGGTGAATCAGGGACCTGGGGTTGCCTCAAGAGTAGCTGCTGCTCACCAGAATCTGACATGTCTAACTAGTCCAATTGCTGTTTCACAATCACAGCCACATCCAAGTTCAAGTTTCACAGGACCTGCATATTCTAGACCTCATCAACCAATTAAATTTATGATGCCAGAAACAAGCGATCATCCAAATCCAATTCAGCCATCGTCTTCTGTTAGGGCCAACTCATCCTTTTCTGGGGTTTCAAGTCTTAAGAATGATCTTCAAGGCGTAGTTCTAACACTTGGTGGACCTGGCAGTGGTCCTGGTAGCTCGTAGCAGGATTCACAGATGCAGAGAAGAAGATTGATTTAGACAGGGACTCTTGGTTCTTTTTCACCCTCCGGATGTAAATCTTGAATAATAAGAAAAAGAAGAGCTTTTGAATTGAGGGCCTTGGGGTTTGGGCGTCTGGGGTGGGGTGAGGTTGCTGTTGTGTGGTCAGATGTATCGACGAGAAAGGCCATCTCCATGTATGACATCCACATCTCTTGACATGTATCAATCATTTCATCCAAAAAAGTTTGTTAGATTAAAATTTTTTTACTGTTAAAGAGTTGTTGGATTTTGTTAAACAACAAAAACCCTTCTCTCTCTCTCTCTTATAGGGATCACATTCATAATAGACTGCCTCTTTGCTTGTCAAACAGTCTTCAAAAGGTGACAGCTCGTAACACTGTGTCTGAGTATGGACGAAAATTAAGTCCTGCACAAAGCCATATGAGTGGATTGGATGGTCACAGTCTTCTGATTGGCTTGAAACTTTGCTAAGAGAAAGGAAACCCATCTCCTATTCTCTTTGATAACTGTCCCTAAACGCGACAAGCTTAAGCCCCAACCCAAGAAAAAAATAAAAAACAGGACAAAGAAGATCATTACCCCCCTCACCATTCACCAGTTTGTGACCTTGATCAATCGTCGTTACAGGCCAAGCTTTGGCTTTTTTGTTATGCCCTATTTTGTTTTCACCTATTTGGGCAAATAAATTCATCTGGGCAAAGTGTTTCTTAGGCAAAAGTTGCAATTCGTGTTAGTATTTGTGTGCACTTTTACTTATCCGAGTAAAAGAGTGGTGGGGAGGTAGAGACGGATGTCAAGACATTGATAAATAATTTAATTTACCCACGAGTAGGACATCAGTTTTTCGGGTGACTAATACTTTACAAAAAATTCACTTGTTATGAAAGCCAGTGTAGCGGCATAAGAACGCCAAGGATCGTAGTTAATTATTCAATTGACCAATTTACCCCCTGCAAAATACCAGCAAATATCCAGGACCTTAAATGTAAAATTAACCCTTAGTTCATCTCTCCTTTCTCCCTTCTCTTTTCAAACTCAAACGCATCTGTTTTTTCCTCCGGTACGATTTCTTTTCTTTGATCTTTATTCAGTTTATTTTTCATGATATAATTATTCTTTCAACTTTTTAAGTTTTATACAATAAATAAATTAAAAAAAAAGGAACTGCAGTTTCGATTCTCTCCAGCTTCTTTCTCGCTTCTCGGTCCCATTTTTTTTGTGTTGCTGTGGTACGAAGATTTGTTTGGTGTGACATGGTTGCAAACTTGCACGGAAAAAAGCTCCCCCGCGCTTCCCGCGCGATGTCGTCTACAGTAGAGGGGAGAAGTCGCTTTCGGCCGTCTGATCTGTCAGCCACGTCATCCACTGAAGCTGGATGTTAACTCAGTCTCTGTCACTTTCGATAAGACCTCTCTACTGAGGTTGATAACGTCATCCACGTAGACCCTCTGACCTCTCCCCGAGTCTTTTCTTTTCTTTCCTCCACATCTCCACTCTCCCTCCGGTCCAGATTCCTATTTGCTCTCCAGGTTCCTCTGCTCCTCCGCAGTCCGCAGACGACAGAACCGTACGTGGGACCTTCTCCTAATACGTGTCACTCTCCCATGTTAATATCTGCAATCCGCTTAGGCTGCATTCGGCATCTTTTATTTAAAAAATTTATCTTTTTTTTTGTTAAAATGTCCAACACTGAATTCTTAAGAAGGTAAATAATAAGGAATTCCAAATGCAGCCTTAGTTACCATCTGATTCCATCTGTTCACCCACCTAATCTTATACATATTACATGCTTCTAAAAAAATCCCCTGGCATCGACCATCATAACTTAGGGTGTGTTTGGTATGTTGTATTTTGGGTTTGATGAATGCAAATTTGTACGAAAAAAGGTTTTTCTATATGAAATGTTTCATTCGTTCAATAAACATCAAAAAAGTATTACACCACAAAAATAAAAGTGAGAATCCCGAGGCATAATCCTGTTTTGACCACTCATGCCACATCAACAAAAACGGAACAGTAGAAAAACATTTCGGTGTCAAATACCCGATTGGCTTGCAGTTGGTATTGAAATAGAAATGCTCTATCTTAATAAATTGTTTGGTTCAAATGAGAATCGAATTGGAATGAGTTAAAATGGGATGACAGATTTTGCCCAACTGCAATTAAGCGGTTGAATTTCGATTCCAAATTTAGACCCTTATCCGCATAAACCTAACGGGTTAAAAATGTTTTGAATTGATCAACATAAATTGTTATTTATTTCTGATGCGTCAAATTTTCTGTTTCTTGAAATGATATTCATATATGACGTGGCAATACATATTTCTCACAAATGACATAAAAAAATAAAACCAATTACAATTTAATGCCATCATATAAAAACACCCTTTTAGGCTATGTTTGGTTTGAAGGTAAAGATAAGGAAAGGAAAGAAGAGGTATGAAAACCTTAATAAGCCTTGTCTAGATTTTTTATCTTTCCATTCTTTTCCCTTTCTTTTTCTTCAAACCAAACATAGCCCACATTCTATCTTAGGCTTTTTTCATGTCAGATAATTTGTGTCCCAGTAGGCCTACCTAACTGGGCCACTTTGGAGGTAGGGTAGGCTGCATCTTCCCATATCGCTCCATTTCAAATGGTTAGAAATCAGCCTCAGTCACTTATAGACAATTTCCACGCTTCGGTTTGAAAATTTTCTGTTGCAACCTACGTGTCACGAGTACGAGGGAGCGTAACTCACTTTCGCTCCTTTCACCAAGGACCCAAGCGTCTTTCCGAATTCTCGGAGATTGAAATATGACCAGATATGCACATCAGTCCGGAAAGAGTGTTTCAGTTCAGTCCCTGATAACTCGGACGACGTCTGCGTCCTCCATCGAGCAAAAAAGCGACCTGGATTATTTCGGGGATAGGAAGGGTTAAGCGCGGCTGTTTGGCATCGTCGCCGTTTACCGGAATAATGGCGCCACGTCAGAAAAAACGGTGCTCTAAGAAATAGGCATTTGTTTGGAACTATTTTTTTATAAAAAATGGTATTTTAAATCATGTCTTGAAAATCGGGAGCTGCAGTTCATTGACGCCACCAGAGCAGTGATGTGGCACTGAATAATGGGTACAAGTGTTGAAAACGTTTTCTAAAGCATAGGTACCAAATAGAAAATTTTGATATAGCTCCAAGAAAGTTCTACCTAGCAACAATGATTCCAAACAAAATTAACGGCACCGTTTTTTTAAAAAATAGTACTTCCAACCACACATTAAAAAATGAATATATGTTTGGTATATATTCCAAACATATACCAAAATAATCTTTCATGTGACAAATTACTGTCATTATCCTTAATTGATAAGTCAGATTTGAGCCCAAAAAGACCTTGCCAAACGGTGTCTTGGGACAAGTTTACTTTATAGTTGGAAATATATTATATTAGACGGTCGAGATCATATGATTGGATCACACATCGACGTACAAAAAATTGTGTTAAATGGGTCAGAGCCATGAAACAATATACCCTGAAAGACTGAATCCTGAGCCCTGACTATTACAGATGAACGCTTGCGTACCATAAGAATTAACAATGTTGAGTTATAAATCGGAAACAGTATCTCTAGTCTCCTCTATTTCTCGATAAATTATTTATTTGAATAAAAGCATTTGTTCCGGTAAGAAATATGGAGAAATACACTTATCAGTGTTCTTCATACCCTTAATCTTCTTTCCGTGGGCCTATGAGATAATTCATAGCCTCTACTCTCTAACCCATTAAAGGTACCGGCCCAGTTAAATCCAATTTACAGAAGCGTATAAACTTAGGTCAGATTTAGTTCCTTACAGCCTAGCCCATTTGTTTTGTTTTTGTTTTTTAATTTCCTTCAGGAAAACAAGTTGCAATCTGGGTTGGGCCTAACATGAGAAAGGCCTAGACAAGAAGTAGCAGGCATATTAAATTGAGCAAGAGGTGGTTAGGTGTGAAATGACCATCCGAATCAGGATTAGATGAGAGGGAATTGGGTGGGTGATGGAGTGGATTTAAATCACATCTCATCACCTTCTTTGTCTTCTCCTTGGAAAGTTGGGATAACGATGGCAATGCGGAGTTGGACGATGGAGATGAAGAAGTGGGGAGGAAACAGAATAAAAATAAAATTAAGAAAAGGCCCATCTAGGCATCTACTGAATGACAGCCTCAAATTTGTCATTCATTCAATTGTCATTTTGATAAATGGATGCGATGGTGATAAGATTTGGTACAGGGAGGGGGTCCATGGCGAGTTCCATCAAACGCTCGAGAAAGAAAGGGGGGAAATTTGGAAGATAGAATGGTACAGTTTTTTGATTTGGAGAAAAGGACAAGCTGGTCCTCCTCCTATCACCATCTTTCTTTCTTTCTTTCATGAATCAATTCAAGATGTCTCCTCTGGATGGGATGGGCTGCTTACAATGCCCACGCCTCACGCCTCACGCCTCTTGCCCAGAAACTTCAAATTTTGATGAACTTGGGAGAGATGGTATGATTTGGTTATTATCATTATTTATTTATTTTTGCTCTGTCTCTGTGAAATGGGGGAGTGAGTCCGAGTATAGGAGGCTGTCTACTTATAATGTCATACTATGTGTACTTGATGATATCGGATTGGATCTTGTAGATATATCTTTTTGCTTAGAGTCCTGTTTGCTCCTCACAATAACCTTACAGAATGTCCTGGCCTTACATTGTGAGCATCTCTCTTATTTGTATTTATTATTCATGAAAAAATGATCTCAATACATGGTGGGATGTATTTGTGAGGAATAAATCCCAATTCCTTTGCTTACGGACGAATTGGAATTTGTTCTTGACACAGGCCTCACTCACCCATATCCTACCCTGTATTGAGAACATCTTTCATGAATACTAATATACAAGTATTATTAACCACCCACTCAATGAAAACACGCTTTAGTAATTAACCACGGACCCACTTTGGAGCATAAAGGGCCAAAGTTTTTTTTTTCTGAGTGTCTTCAGAGAGGGATCTGTATACTGATATGGAAAGTTGATCTTATAATTATTTTTGTCTTCTTAGTCAATATGTATTTTTTTTTTCTGTTTGTTATGTAGATTAATAAATAAATGGGAATGTTGGTATTGTAGCCTTTGTACAGAAGGCAGGGAAAGTTTTTATCCAGGGATAACTTGGCACAGTTGCACAAGATAACGCTCGAAAAGAAAATCAAATTATTTTAGTATCTGTTTGGTTGGTAGT